GTTGAATGTGCTGACAACAAAATCACACAAAAATTATCAATGAAAATCATATTTAGCAACACCTGGAGGTCTGGATTTGGAGTTACACTCAAAATTAAAGTGGAAAAAAACACTACAGGCTGATCCAACTTTGATGTAATGTCCTTAAAACAAGTCAAAATGAGGCTCAGTAGTCTGTGTGGCCTCCATGTGCCTGTATGACCTCCCTACAACACCTGGGCATGCTCCTGATGAGGTGGCAGATGGTCTCCTGAGGGATCTCCTCCCACACCTGGACTAAAGCATCCCCCAACTCCTGGACAGTCTGTGGTGCAACGTGGCGTTGGTGGATGGAGCGAGACATGATGTCCCAGATGTGCTCAATTGGATTCAGATCTGGGGAATGGGCGGGCCAGTCCATAGCATCAATGCCTTCGTCTTGCAGGAACTGCTGACACACTCCAGCCACATGAGGTCTAGCATTGTCATGCATTAGGAGGAACCCAGGGCCAACCGCACCAGCATATGGTCTCACAAGGGGTCTGAGGATCTCATCTCGGTACCTAATGGCAATCAGGCTACCTCTGGTGAGCACATGGAGGGCTGTGCGGCCCCCTAAAGAAATGCCACCCCACTGCCAAACCGGTCATGCTGGAGGATGTTGCAGGCAGCAGAACGTTCTCCACGGCGTCTCCAGACCCTGTCACGTCTGTCACATGTGCTCAGTGTGAACCTGCTTTCACTGGCACAGGGCGCCAGTGGCGAATTTGTCAAGCTTGGTGTTCTCTGGCAAATGCCAAACGTCCTGCATGGTGTTGGGCTGTAAGCACACCCCCCACCTGTGGACGTTGGGCCCTCATACCACCCTCATGGAGTCTGTTTCTGACCGTTTGAGCAGCCACATGCACATTTGTGGCCTGCTGGAGGTCATTTTGCAGGGCTTTGGCAGTGCTCCTCCTGTCCCCCCTTGCACAAAGGCAGAGGTAGCAGTCCTGATGCTGGGTTGTTGCCCTCCTACGGCCTCCTCCACATCTCCTGATGTACTGGCCTGTCTCCTGGTAGCGCCTCCATGCTCTGGACACTACGCTGACAGACACAGCAAACCTTCTTGCCACAGCTCGCATTGATGTGCCATCCTGGATGAGCTGCACTACCTGAGCCACTTGTGTGGGTTGTAGACTCCGTCTCATGCTACCACTAGAGTGAAAGCACCGCCAGCATTCAAAAGTGACCAAACCATCAGCCAGAAAGCATAGGAACTGAGAAGTGGTCTGTGGTCACCACCTGCAGAACCACTCCTTTATTGGGGATGTCTTGCTAACTGCCTATGCTTTCCACCTGTTGTCTATTCCATTTGCACAACAGCAGGTGAAATTGATTGTCAATCAGTGTTGCTACCTAAGTGGACAGTTTGATTTCACAGAAGTGTGATTGACTTGGAGTTACATTGTGTTGTTTAAGTGTTCCCTTTATTTTTTTGAGCAGTGTATTTGTTTAGCAGAGTGATGGTGTTTGGGAAAAAACTGTCCGTGTCTAGTTATTCTGACATGCAGTGCTCTATAGCATCGTTTTGAGGGAAGGAGTTGAAACAGTTTATGTTCAGGATGTGAGGGGTCTGTAGATATTTTCAAAGCCCTCTTTTTGACTGGTGCAGCATACAGGTCCTCAGTGAAAGGCAGGTTGGCAGTAATTGTTTTTTCTGCAGTCCTAATTACTCTCTGAAGTCTGTGTCTGTCCTGTTGGGTTGCAGAACCAAACCAGGCAGTTATAGAGGTGCAGATGATAGACTCAATCATTTCTCTCTAGAACTGGATCAGCAGCTCTTTGGGCAGTTAAATGATCTTGTGTAGAATTTCATGGATTCCTTCTGCATCTGGTCATGATCTGTTTCAATTCCAAGTAAGCCCGAGCACGAAAGAGGAGGCAGCCTTGTTTGGGGGTCTCTGAAATCCCCTTGCAGGACAAAGACAGGTATCAAGAAATGGTTTGAGCGTCTGCCTTTTGTTCTTTTGCTATAATTCCTACCGGATCTACTGAAAAGCTTAACAGGCAGAAGGCAGCAGCTAATTTCGAGGAGGTAAAAAGACTAAAAACCCTAAACAGTTCATCCTTATTTAAGAAAGCTACAGCTGTAATAGACAGGGCGAGCAGTGGCTCCACACTGTGTTTAACTGGTTTTAATATGGCAGTGATTTAAGTTTTGCATTATTAGGGGAAGAAAAGTCGGTGTGTGTCGCTTCCGGACTCCAGCTAAACTCAGCTTCCAGAGATCCTGAAATGTTTGCGTGAACTGACACAGTTAAAGCGAAGGTGCTCAGGAAAACGTGGTATATTTGATTAAAGATTTATTTAGGGCTGGTGAAAGTTGCAGTTATCAAGCCGAATACAGATTAACGCACATTCAGTACATACAGGCTGAAGGAAAGTACTTTTTAAAAAAATGCTCATGATATTTAGGGAGAATGAACAGCGAGGGTTAGCTTTTTACACAAGTAGTCTTTGACTTACGACCGCAATTGAGCTCCAAATTTCTCTCCTAAGTGAGACATTAGTTGTTCTGACCTAGGCTTCCCAAGATCATGAAGCCGACGCCTCATCCCGGTAAAACCCCTTTTATTTAGGTTAAAGGGAATTCTTCTCCAGCAAAGTCCCGGCCAACAGTCTTTCAAGAGATTTCACAACTACAGAACTTTATCAGGCTTGGAGAGTTGCCAGGCCAATATCTTCCAAACACCATGCTGTAGCAGAAATTACTTGGCAAGGAGTCAGGAATAGATCTTAACTCTAATGAATTGTACTAATTGTCTCCTGCAAACACCACTCCCCTTTTGGTCCTCTTTATTCCCTATGGGAGGGGCCATTCACTATCCACTTGTGGTTTTACTCCCGAGTCAACACTTGTTCCTTAATTGTTCCCTTCTCTGGGCAGCTCTGTGCATGCGCACATTGGGAACAGGCTCCAGCTGTTCTTCCGCCCCACTGATGTCCGACTCTGAAGGCAGCTGATGGTTCTCAGACGGCCCTGGCCCCATCTCTGTGTCCGACGCAGAACCCTCGCCTGAGCCTTCCCCAGACTCTAGGACTGGCCCGTGTTCCTCCCCAACCTCCTCCCTGTCCAAGTCTGCTGCCAGCTCTGCTGGCCGGCCACAACATTAGTTAAGTGAGATTTGCCCCATTGTACGACCTTTCTTGCCACAGTTGTTAAGTGAATCACTGCCATTGGGTACATTAGTCACATGGTTGTAAAGAGAATCTGGTATCCCCGTTGAATTTGCTTGTCAGGTCGCAAATGGGGATAACGTGATGTTTTCTATTGGGTCATGAAAAGTCTGCAAGAAAACCACCAAGCACAGAGAGTAGCAAGAACCCCACAGTTGCCCTTCCTTCTCCCCGCCTTCCTCCCCCTCCACTCTGCAAGCCCCATTCTCTTCTATCACTGATGATGTTATGTAGTCGGGTCATGAAACGTCTGCAAGAAAATCCCCACGCTCACCTACAGTCCTTCTCTTTCTCCCCCTCCTCCTCTACCCTGCAAACCCTGGTGATGTTTCCTAGTCATCCTCTTCTTCTTCCTCCTCCCGCTCCTTCTCCTCTACTCTGCAATGCCCATTTTCTTCTAGCCCTGATCATGTTGCCTAGTTGGGTCACGAAACGTCTGCAAGAAAATCCCCAGGCTCAGTAGCACCGAGGAACCTCACAATATTTTGCACTCTCTTAAGCTTCAGGCAATTCTATTAGAGCTAATGATGAAGACTTTAAACTTTTTAGCATGGCACCCCAGTCATTGTCTTCCTTCTCCTTCTCCCTTTCCTTCTCCTGCATACTCCTCTCCCTTCTAACCCTGATGATGTTGCCTAGTTGGGTCACGAAACGTGTGCAAGAAAACCCCCCAAGCTCAGAGAGCACCAAGGAACCCCATAGTCGTCATCTCCTTCTCCTCCTCTTCTTCTTCCTCCTTCTTTTCTTCCTCTTCCTCCTCCTCTACCTTTTCTTCCTCTTCCTCCTTTTCCTCTTCCTCCTCCTCCTCCTTTTCTTCCTCTTCCTCCTTCTTCCTCCTCTTCCACTTCTTCTTCCTTCTTTTCCTCTTCCTCCCTCCTGTTTTTCTTCCTCTACCTCCTCTTTTTCTTCCTCTTCCTCCTTCTTCCTCTCCTTCCTCTTCCTCCTCCTCCTTTTCTTCCTCTTCATCCTCCTCTTCCACCTTCTCCTCCTCTCCACAACCCTACTCCCTCCTAACCCTGATGATGTTCCCTAGTCGGGCCACCAAACGTCCGCAAGAACCGCCCGCCCCTCAAACTCAGAGGGTACCAAGGACCCCACAATCCTTTCCCTATTCTCAGGAGGAGACCCCCTTTCCTGGCCCCCTCAGCCCCCCGCCCCCGCCTGACCCTCCCCTCCCTCAGGACGTCCCGCGAGCCTGAGCCCCTCCCGCACCCCCCCCTCTCCCCCCCCCCCCCCCCAACCCGTCCATCCTCGCGCCCGCTCTTCCCCTCGACCGGGCGGGCTTTTTTTTTTTTGAGGGAAAGCAGCGGCGGCGGCTTGTTGAGGGCAGCCTCGGCGGCTTCTCCCGGCGCCACCGCGCCTGCGCCTGCGCCGGCCGGGGCGCCTGCTCTGATAGGGAGCAGGGGCTGCCACTTTTCCCGGCGCCCCCCCTCCCGCTCCATCCTTCCCCTCCCCTCCAGCCCCCCCACCTCACCCTCCACCCCACCCCGCGTGGGCGGTGGCGGCGGGGAGGCGGCTTGAGGCGGCGGAACGTCCCGAGGATGACGTGCGGCGTCCTCGAATCCCGTGGCTGGCTGCTCGCGCGCTGGGGCCGCCGGAGGAGGAAGAAAACGGGCAAGGCGGCGCGAGCCTCGGGAGCCGCGCGGCGGCGGCGGCGGTGGCGGCGGCGGCGGGGGGGAGGGGAAGGAGGAGGAGGAGGCGGCTGAGGCGGCTGAGGAGGAGGAGGAAGAAGGAGCAGCTGCTGAGGAGGAGGAGGAGGAGGAGGAGCGGCGGTGCTTCTGCTGCTGCCACCGCCGCCGCTGCTGCTGCTGCCATGGCGGCTCTGGAGCGGCCCGTGCCCAGCCCGGAGGCTTTCCTGGGCCAGCCCTGGGCCGCTTGGGTGCGGGAAGCCGCCCCCCCGCACAGTAAGCCCCCCCCCTCCTCCAACCGCCAGGCTGCCCCCCCCACACACTTGCCATGCGTCGGGAGGGGAGGGGGGAGTGGGAGGCTGCTGGCACGCCTCGTCCCCCTTGCCCGTCGCGGGGGCGGAGGGGCCGGGCTGACGGGGGTGGGGAGATTGAGGAGGGGGAGGAAAACATAGACACGGCCGTCGCCAAGCATGCCCCCCCCCCAGCAGCGGGGGTGGGATGGGGAGGTGGTCGAGAGGATGCCCGTGCGGGGATGCAGGGAGAGGTGGGGAGGGAGGGAGTGGGGGTCTTTGGGGTGGGGGCGCTGGGTGGGGGGGACCCCCAGCCCCTTGCTCTCCCTCCCTCTCTCTTTCTCTCTTTCATTCTCCCTCTCTGTTTCTTTCATTCACTCTCTCTTTCTCATTCTCTCTCTTTCATTCTCACTTTCCCATTCCCTCTCTCATTCTCTCACTTTCTTATTCTCTCTTTCATTCTCTTTCCCATTTCCTCTCATTCTCTCACTTTTCATTCTCTCTCTCTCTCTTCATTCTCTTCTTCCCTCTTTCATTCTCTCTCATTCTCTTTCCTCTCTCTCATTCTCTCATTCACTCTCTCATTCTCTCACTTTTTCATTCTCTTTTTCTCTCACTCTCTTTTCATTCTCTCCCTCCCTCTCTTTCTCTCTCATTCACTGTCTTTCTCATTCTCTTTCTCATTCCTCTCTCTCTGTCTCTCTTTCATTCTCTCTCATTCTCTCACTCTCATTCTCTCTTTCATTCTCTCTGTCTCTCTCTCTTTCATTCTCTCATTCTCTCCCTCCCTCCCTCCCACTCTTTCTCACTCTCTCTCTGTCGGTCTTATTCTTTCTCTCATTCTCATTCTCTCTCTCATTCTCTGTCTCTCTCATTCTCCCATTCTCTCTCTCTCATTCTCTCCTTCCCTCCCTTTCTCTCTCTGTGTCTCTCTTATTCTTTCTCTCATCTTCTCTCTCTCTCTCTTCCCCTCCCCAAGCTGGAGCCCCATGCAATCATTCTCTGATGGGCACTTTTCTCCCCCTCTCCCCCAGGTATTGACCTAGAAGACTCTGGGAAAGAGGGCAGCAGCAGCGGCCGAGAGGTGATGAGGCTTAGTAAAGAAGGTAAGGGGGGGCTAAGGGGACAGGAGCGGCTTCTTGCTCTTTTGGGGTGGGGGTTTGAAGGGTTTCTTCCCAAGCCAGATCCCTGCCTTAAAGCCACATGGATTGTTTGATAGATGTAACCCTAAAGAGAACCAGGCCACCTGTGTTAGTTTGGTCCTTTGTATGGCTAGCTCTCTTGCCCAGTGAGCATTTAACATGTCAGATATTGTCAGGTCCATGAGCAAAGTTGCTTCCTTCTGGTTGGCATCTTGTGTTTAATTTTGGACAAAGCTGTGTCCTTTTGTGGAAGGAAACAATCATTTGCCTCATTCTGAACCTGTTAGTTGTTTTGCTTCCATTACAGCTCCACCATCACAATAGCCTGTCCTTCGAGTTTTAGTTTTTCTGAAGGTAATCACCAGATTTTTGGAGCCACCTGCATTTCGGGAGCTTCCATTTTTCTAGCGATTGGAACTTCTGGTGGCAGGAAGGTACCTGTAGTGGTTATATAGAGTTAAACCTTGCAAACCTTGACTCATTGGTGAGTCCCTTGGATGTTCTTACAGAACCATCCATTGCTTGTGATGAAAAGAGCTATATTTGTGTGCTGAACATCCGGTATTCAGATCAGACGTGACTAGTCCTAACAAATAACCTTGGTAAAAGAGGCAACTTAGATTGCAGTCAGGATATACCGACAGGCTTGCTTTGCAATATGTTGTGTGGATGGCCTGTTGATATTAGTGACTCTGGACATTTTGATGCTGTCATCAACAAATGCTGGACTTTTAGAATTAGGTGTAAAAAGTGGACATTACAGAAAGCATTCTGTGTATAAAAGGCTGGACAACACAGTATAGATCAGGGGTGTCCATCTTGGCAACTTTGTGGACTTCAACTCCCAGAATTCCCCAGTTAGCCATGTTGGGAGTTGAAGTCCATGGGTAATGTGGTTCACCGGCAGCCTGGCAGACGGCAGTGGAATCGGACTGTGGGAAAGACCGGGGATCAGTCTGGGAGTCTGGAAAGGACTCAGACGAGGGTCCTGCGTCCGATGCAGAAATGGGGCCAGGACTATCTGGGAGTGGGGTACTGCCTCTGGAGCCTCCAGAGTCTGGCAGCAGCGAGGCAGAGGAACAAGGGGAGCCTGTTCCCAGTGCGCATGTGTGCAGAGCTGCTAGAAGGTGAGAGCAGCTGAGACAAAAGGGGTGACTCGGGAGTAAGGCTGGGAGGTGATTGCCCCTCCCATAAGGTATAAAGGTCAGGCAAAGATGACGAAACCTTTGCAGGAAGCAAAGTCGTTTGTTCGGTTCAGACTCATTCTTGAAGCTCTTTGTACTTCGGCTTTGTACTTTTTTTCCTAGTTCATTGGACACTTCTGTTATTGGCAGCACTTCACAGGAAAGTAAGGTGGGTGCTTATCTTGAGGGACTGTTTGAGATTCATTACCGGCTAGGAATGAAAACAGCATTCATTCCCATCATTGCAATAAAACAAGACTTGTTTTTAAAATAAGCGTGTGCATAATTACAGTCTCGGAAACCTTGGTCAGAACAGTGGGTCTTAAATTTGCTAAGGTTGGACACCCCTGTTGTAAACCATCATGCTGAGATGGTATCTCATCAACGTCAGAGCTGATCTTGTAGGAGAAAATACCTTATTTTGTTAGGCTCATTTAGACATCACTCCTCCATCTCTTTTGGGCCTCTGCTTTTTGTGGTTGTGAACAAATGCCTGCTGTTGTGTTGTGCAAGGCCATCATAAGCATGTCTGCTCAAAATTAATTCTCATAGGATTCAGTGTCAACTGACTTGTATTCTAGTTTAGCATTGACTTGCAAGTGGGCCTTACGGATACTAGTAGAATTGCTAACTAAACGTTACGATACAGGCACTCCTTGACTTGTGACCACAATTGAGTCCAAAACTGCTAAGTGAGACATTTGTTCAGTTTTGCCCCATTTTATGACCTTAAGTATGGTCATAAGTGTGAAAAAATGATCTTTTTTCAGTGGTAATCCTTGACTTACAACAGTTCTTTTAGTGATTGTTCAATGTTACTTACGGTTGTAAGTCAAGGACTACCTATCCTGTAGGCAGAAATATACCCAGAAATTTAGCTCCATGTTTATGACTAGAAGTATCTTGATCTTCCACGGCCTAAACTAACTCACATATGGGAAGCAGTACTAATGGGCTGTATTTCTCGTCCCTCTGACGTTAACCATGTTGTGATAAACTCAGTTTCTCTAAGGCTGGGTTTTTATTCGTTGTGTTGGGTACCACAGCTTCTCCAAGTTGTTCTACAAGCAGAGTACTTTCTTCTCTAAAGAATATTGATAAAATGTAAATATTTTGAGGATGTATGGCTTGCTTGTTTGCTACTTAGATTAATTTGTGCTCTCTTCCTGCAAATACAGGTAGGCCTCTTTGAGTGAGAGTTAGAAGTTATAACCGCACGGAAGGAAGTGACTTGTGACTGTGTTTCACATTTATGACCGTTGTAGCATCTCTATGGTCACATGATCAAAATTCAGACGCTTGGGCCCTGACTCACATTTATGACGGCTGCAGCATCCCGGGGTCACATGATCCCCTTTTGCGACCTTCAGACAAGCAAAAGTCAATGGGGAAGCCAGATTCACTTAAAAACTGTGGTGAGACAGGTCGTTAAAATGGGGCATAACTCCCTTAACAGCTTGTCTCGCTTAGCAACAGAAATTTTGGTCCCAGTTGTGGTCGTAAGTTGAGGCCTATCTGTATAAAGGATGCTGAAAAAGTTCAAGGCATTTTTGTATTGCTTGGTAAGGGTTTTGAAGAGATGATTTCATAAGGGCGATGACATTTTGCAAAATGACCCCCCTCAAAGATTTGGATGACTGCTTAGAAGGTTTTTACAAGTTGCTGGTATGTGCAGATGACACTTTGGTATAGTTGCTGCAGAGAGACTTATGTGCACACGTATGTGAAAATGACTTGAGGGGGGGGATAAAAACCTCAAAGCAATGGCAGGGAACTAACATCTGGAAGCCTGGGTGTCTCAGAGCATGAGGAAGGGTGCAGTGCTGGTGCCAATGTGCTTAACAAAGTGCAACTTGGCAAAATTTGCCTAGCCGTGCTGCTGAGTAGCCCTTTAAGTAATGTATTTAATTATGAATTTTTAGTGCAGCCGAGAAAACCCAAACCCTCAAATGAAGTCCCTGGAAAAAAAGGCTGAACGTGGCATTGATTAGAAATCACGCTGTCCATTTTCAACCGGATATACAATTTTTCTACTCTGGAACTTGGAACAACGTGCTTTAAGGCGTAAAACGGGAGAGGGAGAAAGTTAAAAATACCATTTTATACCTCTTACCCTACCACAATCAGACCAGTTATAGTACAATTGGAATAGATTGTATTTCTAGAATATTTTGATACGCTTTCAAAAAAGATACTTGCTTCTTTGTACACAGTATATATCTAGAGGCTTTTGAATGATTTTTAGAGAGTTCTAACTGCAGCATATCTCAGTAATTTGGATTTGAATTAGGATTTAATTCTTCCCCTCTATAGATTGAAAATATTGTGCAACTTTGCTATGACAACCCATTAGGCCATAAAGTACTGAGCTACCTTTACCGTAATGTGTTTTGCAAACCTATGTGGTTAGTTTACAATTTGGTGCTCTGTTGTGTTGGCCCTGAATATTGGGGATTGTTGATTAGACCATAGTTAAATTAATCATAGATCAGTGGGTCATTTTTAGTATACAGGTAGTCCTCAACTTACAACAGCTCATTTAGTAATTGTTTGAAGTTATAACACTGAAAAAAGTGACTTATGACCATTTTTCACACTTACCAACCCATTGTGGCATTCCCCTATGGTCACATGATCAAAATTCAGATGCTTGGCAACTCGTTCATATTTACGACCATTGCAGTGTCCTATGGGTCATGTGATCCTCTTTTGCAACCACCTTTTAAGTAAAGTCAACGGGAAAGCCAAGGTTCATTTAACAACCATGTTACTAGCTTAACAGCTGCTGCAGTGATTCACTTAACAAATGTGTCAAGAAAGGTCACAAAATGGGGCAAAAATCTCTTAACAAATGTCTCCCTCAGCCACAGACATTTTGGGCTCAATTATGGTGGTAAGTTGAGGACTGCCTGTAATGTTGACATTTAAAACTTGTGTGTGTGGGAGAAATGGTGTACATGTTCCCAGTTATTTTAGTGCAGTTGTAGCTTCAAATAATTACTAGAATAATAGTTGTGGGTTGAGAAGTACCTGATACATTATTATTACCTCACGGTGATACCCTGTTTCTCCAACAATACGGCCTCCCCCAATAGGAAGTCCCAGCATGTTTTATAGGCATGAAATGAAATTAAGCCCCTCCCCCCAAATTAAGGCCTATATTAAAACATGCAAAATGGGGGGAATGGTGGGGGTGGGGGCTTGCCATTAGGAAGTACTTTTGTTGCACACTCGGATATGGTGCTGCCTGCGTTGACCCCGATACGAAGTGCCCCACCAACGCCAAGGTCAACATCCAAGCCATTGCCGCCCTCCCGAAGATGCAAGGGGGGCGGGAATTAAGTCACCCCCGAAAAGATGGCCTAGCCATTTTTTCGGGGCTCAAAAAAAAATAAGACCCGGCCTTATATGAGAAACACGGTAGATAGAATACAGAGGATAGTGCAAGGAATGAAAATTTCAAAATCTCGTGTAATAGCCTACTATTGATTATATTTTGGAGTTCATGTGGAGAAGAAGTTGCATACAATGCTATTTCACGTTATTAAATATTAAATATCGTGAATAGTAGGAAGAAAATCAAAGTTGACCAGCTTCATACAAAATACAAAGCAGTTGTCTGGTTCTGGCTTAGAAAGTCGTATAAATGTAGCTCTTGTGATTTGAAAAATGTATTTTATATCTTTGTATACAATATGTACTTACCTCATTATAAACTGAAGATGAATTAACTAGCTGGCTAACCTCAACCAGCCTTTACTTGAATTATAGGTGACATTT